CTCATTATCATTCTCACCGCAGGCGTTCAGCGTGACAGTCTGACAGGCAAACAGTTCTTTATCGGTACTAACAATAGAAGATGGAACGAAGCACGGACAATATGCGATGACATTGGAGGACGCCTGGCTCAGATAGACAATCAGCAAACACTGGATGGTCTTCTTGCCTATGCTATGACTACTCATTGGAAGGACGTCATGTACGACAAATAACCCATTTTTGATGAACTACTTCTGGTTATGCTTCCAAAAGTTTTAATGCATCACATAGGACGTATATCATTATTAATATTATAATTATAAAATGTGGGGGGCGTGGTGGGCGAGCTCGATAAGGCGCCAGGCTAGTGATCCAGCGAGCATGAGGTGCCGGGATCGAGCCCACCTGTGACCGGATGTAAAAACCTTTGTGTGCAGTCTCTTTCACAGGGTCTTGTAATGCAAAGGGGCGGTGGGGTAGCCTAGTGGTTAAAGCGTTCGCTCGTCACGCCGAAGACCCAGGTTCAACTCCCCACATCGGCACAATGTGTGAAGCCCATTTGTGGTGTCCCCCGCCGTGATATTGCTGGAATATTGTTAAAAACGGCGTAAAACCATACTCACTCACTCATTTGTAATGCAAAGATTATACTGTCACTGACGGGTCAAAACACTATATACAAAGGTATGGTTGTAAGTTCGTTTCAGGGCGAATTCACCAATGCTCACTGTATGTACCCCAATAACGTTATGCACGCATTTCAAGCCGATAGATTTACTTACAAAATGAGACATAGATCACAAAACTCGAAGCAGTACTTTGGGAGGTAGCGTCTTCGGAAGCTCTCAAAATTGTGATTTCTTGATTCCGAGACAAAATCAATACTCAGAATCTGACGTATATACCATGATGCCTGCGCCTGAAGTAAGTATGCAAGTGAAACCACTGTCTGTATTGTTTCCACGATTAGAGACGATTCATTACTATACAGATTATATAATTTGTCTGCGAATCACTATCCAATAGTACTGATACCAGTTATACACGGAAATGTATTTACGTATCCTCCCCTGCGGTACAAATAGGCATGGACACGTCATGTGTTCACAAACACAGGGATATACACTAAACGACAAAAGAAACGTTACCCTCCTACTTTTATGAATTACTTAAAAACTATCAAAGATATGTTAGAATGTATAAGTTTACAAGAGAGCTTAACAACGCAGCTTTATGCAAATCACGAAAAGAATTTCTCAAATGCATTCATATTTAGGTGAAATGAATCTTTTTCAGAAGAGTTAAATTGTCCTATTTTCGACCATGCCAAAATAAACCAATAACAGAGATTTAGATGTCCAAAATAAAGGTTGAAATAAAATTCTGTTTTGAGACAAAGATAAACCATTTAAAGTCACCATTTTTCAACTATTAAAACAAGAAACAACTGTTGTAGAATGTGTAAAATTGTAAAAGAGTCATTCCTATGACTTCAGTCTTTTAAAACATTTTCTGCTGATTGCATTAGTGAAAACAAATGAAACGTGTCTTTGATATTGTGAAAAAGTGTTCAGGAACATCTAAAATTATCTTTGTTAACATTTTTGCTTGCAAAGTAACATTTTTCCATTTTCTGTTTACACATAATAATATCAAACGACAAAACGTAGCAATATATTCAATTAGTATTTGCATCCATTTCACGTGTGGAATTATTCTGTAGGGTATAAAGAGAGACTAGAATGCATGATTTGATACACAAGTACGAGAAATATGCCACGATTAACAGCTGAAGAGACAGAAATAGCCATTGGGATTGTGCAGGTGGGGTCAACATACAATGCTGTTGCCAACGCACTGGGATGCCACCGTATCAGGGTTATAAGACTTATTCAGCGTTACAGACAGACTGAGGTCACCGTAGACAGACCAAGAAGTGGACGTCCACGCCTGGGGGATACTCATTCGTAACTACTCGCCTCTTTCCGTGACCTTCAAGAAGACTCGTACCCCTATCCTACGCCATTATTGCCAAGAATCGTGGCAAACCAATCAAATTGCGCGTAGTAAAACGCATTTCGAAGCATGAAAATGGTGGCACCGTTGAAGTTTGAAACTTCGGTAAACTATGCAAAGTACAATTTAACCATAAACTTTGAGTTAAAGGATCAAAAACTTTAAACACTGAAACATGTTTACAAAGGAAATGACTGTATTGCTGTTTTGCCCACGGGATATAGGATATTCTAGGAGCCATGTTTGGAAATTTAGAGTTATCTTTCCTTGGTATGGTACTAGACTATTTTCATCTCCATGCCCGTTTGCGCTTAGACAGGGCCCAGTCGTAAACATGGCCACGAGAGGGGTACGAGACGCCATCCGGCTTGCCGGAAATTTACTCGAGTAGTTACGAATGGGGGGATACTCAGGCTGTTGTACTGTAGTCCCACAGTGTCGTATTGGTTGGCCTCTTACACGGACAAAGAATCCGGAATGCCATCATGGGAGTTGAAGGAGTTTGTTTAGGGATTCTTTCTGTTTGTTAATCAATTCTATATCGTCTTTGTTTCAAATATACCTCTGCAGACTGATTTGAAAAGTTACATTTGTAAACATAGTGCATGTACGGGGTGCATAGTGTTCTTCTCATTAAGTTTAGAGACATATAATTTTTGTGTGTATCGTTGACCCTAGGAAATCACATTTCTGGATTGGGCTTAACCGTGATGACAAATCATATACTCTTCGCTGGGATCACTGTGAGAGTGTTGATGCTTCATCCTTTACATTCTGGAGCGACTCATCCCAGGACCGAACTAAACTGTGTGTGTATGCTGAAAAAGACACCTTGGGTTGGTTCAGCGAAGTCTGTGACAGTAGCAGCTACCAGTATCTGTGCCAGGTGGACACAGGTAAGTAACCGGAAACCAGGGCTTCACGAAGTAAGGTTGTGACCTTACACTAACATTAACCTTAGAAATTGGCAGTGACAGAAAGACGCTGTTAATAGTGTTCATGTAGAGAGATTATTTCCATTCGAAACTATACGAATATAAGCAAGACACGACTGTTGCTCCGTTGTGTTTGTTGGTTCCAGGTCCCTGTACATACACAGAGTTCAGTGGGGGGTGTTCGGGATCCAATCATGACGAGATTTCTGATGTTGCTGATGTTGATGTCGCTCAGTGTGAAGACTTGTGTAGTAGCACACTACAGAACGGGCTAGCATGTTGGATGTACAGTTACAACAGTCCCATCTGTACGCTGTATTTTGACAAGGACCCGTGGGCATGTTCAAAACGTCCAACGGCAGCTGTAGTCAAGACACGGAACTGCTTTACATGTATGTAAATATCATTGGCCATTTTGTTACCTCTTCGTCTGGCTCAAACTGTTTTACATCCCATCTTGACCACAGGCCCTCGTGTCTTTCAGATGATTAAAGATTAAGAACAAAATATAAATTAAAAAATATATTTTGAGATGACCCCCGCCTCGAAATGCTTCACAGTTATTATACTTGGAGCATTTCGAGTCGGAGGTCATCTCAAAATTCTTGATTATTTTGTAAAAAAAACACCTAATGTTTAATTCTCACAAGGACACGTGGGCCTGTGATGTTGGCATGGGATATTGTCACCGAGAACAGTCAATTTGTATACCAGGCTTCGTTAAGACGAGTACATACATGTAGACTAGCTAGAGCGACAATAATACTCCTGGAGCCTCGCTCGGTTTAGTGTAAGTTTGAGTAACCATGACTCACTGCTCCTACAATACAGACAGTACAGTAATAAATGGACATAACCAGTAAACAGGTATCTTTTGAGTAAAATGCGACTTTGCCCAATATGTATTCGTAAAATAATCCGCTCAGATAGAGTGCAGGGTGAAAATTTGGATTTAGGATTCAACTAGTTAATTACAATATATCTTAAGAAACAGTTCACACGAAACAGTGAGTAGGGGTATGATTACCAAAGTATTATAGTACTGCTGCTTCTGTTCAAATATAGCAACACGGCTTGACATAACCATGCTGTTATCTTATCTCACACATAAATTGACTTTTTTCTGATTGGCTGAGCGCTCTTATATTATGTTCAATGTACCCCGCTTACAAGCAAGTAACATTTTCTATCAAACACGACGGGAATGCCGAACTGTGTGAATTCATTTGGTACTTTGTATTAGTATTTCTTTATCTTGAATAACTGAGTCACGTATGATGTACGGAAATTACCGATGTTTTGCGAATGCAAATCGATGGAAGGGACATAACTCTAAATTTGTTTTCTTGTTTGTCGTTGTCATTATTGTCTATTTGCCTAACTCTGGTACTCCTAATTATGATCCGATACCCGTGCTTCACACTGTACAAAATTAACATTGGGGTGTTCGGAAAGATAAATACGCTGTTCACTCGTCCCTCGGAACCAATGGGTTGATGTACCGGGCCAGGGATCATAAACAAACAAAGATGGTACATCAATCCATGACCCCTCGTGACCAGTGAACATATGCCACATAAACACCTTCTCATGCCCATAACGTCTGTGTAATTTCATTGTGTTCCGACAGTTGAAACACTGACTTCGTCCTCTACCTACACCAGCTCTGACAACATACCAGTCATCAACTGTGACTTGTACACAACCCAAGCTGCAGCTACTTCAGCACCAACAACGCCATCACCACCTACAACCGTGGCAACTACCACCACAATTGCTCCATTTGTTGATACATCTATCGCTACCAACACTTCTACAAGGGATACTATTTTACCTGAAGTTACATCGGAAAATACCCAAACAGAGGCAACAAACACTCCTGGACCAACAAATACTTCAAACAGTGACAGCATCAGGGCTCCCACAACATCGCATACGACAATGGAGACTACCATGTCACTGGCAACAGACCCTTACATCCCAACCACAACACGTTTCACCATGACAGCCCATACAACTAGCCCAACCACAACACGTCTCACCATGACAACCCATACAACTAGCCCAACCACTACACGTCTCACCGTGACAACCCATACAACTAGCCCAACCACAACACGTCTCACCATGATAACAGATCCAACTAACTCAGGCACTGTGGGTACAAGAACGGTAACTAATCCTACTACCCCGGCAACAGCAAGTATCACCATGGCTACCGATCCTACATCCCCACCAACTGCATATATCACCATGGCAACTAACCCCACTATCACCCCAAGTATCACCATGGCAACCGATCCTACATCCCTGTTTACTACAAGTATCACCCTGACAACTGAGTCCATCATCCCGGCCACTACCAGTATCACCATGGCAACTGATTCCACTTCTCCGACTGCTGCAAGTATTACCATGGAAACTACCGCGACTTACCCAGCAAGCAGGCTTACGGGAACATCACTTCCTACTACTGGAGAAGCTCCGTCCTCAGCAGCAACAGGCACAGCATCCTCCACTGCACAAGGTGTAACAAGTACACCCACAGCACCATCTCAAACGACCACTTTTTCAACAACCGCCGTGGCGACTTTTGTTGGAGGTAAGCACAGATCATATCAGTAACAGTTAAAAACAGTATAGGGTTTTGCCATGCAGGCTAACGTAGTTTTATGTTGCATCATTATGTATATACGGTAGTCTGTTATCCGAATTCATGTGCTTGCAACCAATCAAATATGAGAAAAAGTAAACAGTGTGCTTGTAAAAACATTATATTTGTCATATGAAATGCTTCTCCTCTTCTTACAAAAAAAGATATGGCAACAAATTGTGATTTCACGTGTACAATATGTTTTCAGGCTCTTCTGGGATCAGAGACATATGTCCGTGTTTGGTCTGCGTTGAAACTAAATCAATGATAGAGACACAGCGCTTTGTTGACGCCATTTTACTACTCCTGAAATTAGACAAGTCGAAACTGTCAGCTACCAGAAGAAAGCTGAAGTCAGAACCGGATGACAGACCTTCAGCACAGGCAATTGGCTACTCCGGAATAATTTTCATCGTCATCACATTCAGTTTCTTTGTCCTCAATGATCTGATGCGACTTTGTCAGCTTTGGTCGGGCAGAAACACTCAAATACCGATCAGGAACAAAACTGCTTGAGGAGTGAATATGTATTTTATGAAGGACCTAGTCCTCTGGTGGGACACACTGCAAAGGCAAGTTAACAACACACCTGAAAACAAAAGCACCTGGACATCTGGTACAAGTCAGAACGGAGCACTGCATCGGATACAATCTTCGTCAAGGAAGAGTCAACCTTCCCTATGTTTTCGAAACGTTTTATCATAACTTTCGATTCACGAAATTTACTTTCAAGAAAATAGTTAGGAATCTGAATATTTTTGGTGAGTCCCTTTCAGTCTCAACACATTTACCACATCCTTTAAACATTGTCATATATAAATGATTTTCCGAATCACTTTCCTTGAAGTCAGACACCAACTTATGTAGTTTATCTTTAAGTTTACCATGTGGGATAGTTGTGTGAATGGTGACAAAATCCAATGTATATATGGGTTTTGTTTGAGATTTCATAACTTTAATTACACCGGTAGACGTTTTCAACATACACGTGTAATTAACCTATACATTCTTTGATAGTATTTAGTATGACCTTGCTGTGTTGTCGTCAGAAGTATTGATATTGGCATTTGACACGAGGATCGTAGGGCACGTACTTGGTTCTGTAATATCACTGTCGATACGTGTGTACTCTGGTGGAGGTCAGGAATTCAACATAAAGCTGAAATAGAAATATTCTTAGGTCTCAGAACAAGCGGCGCCCAACATGGCCGATCCTTTATCAAAGGGGGAATATACGGGAAAGTGTATTCCGTGATTGTTTGCCGATAGACTTGACCCATCTTTTCAGGTTGCACCATTGTCCCACCAAAAACCATGTCAAACAGTCCCTGCGATTATAATTTCACAGATGGAGTAATAACCGGCTTTCTGCTGTTTATCGATCTCTCAGAGTTCATAAAAACAATTGCCGGTGTGGCTTCTGGTCTTTCTTTGACGGGTGCTTGCTGCCAAGGGTAGTCTGATAACCATCTGGAGGATCGTCAGGAATGGGGCTACGACGACATGAGGCCTTTTAGATCTATTATTATGTCATTATTTTGTCTGTGTTTCTGTATTTCGTTTCTGTGCAGCATGTTTTTGGGTACTAGTGGGCATTTTGAACTTGTGACTCCCTTCAATGACAGTGTTACTAATGGATTTGATCGAAACTCTAATTTGTGAAATGCACAATGCCAATGCCAATTAATACTTATCAGAGGGGTACACAAAGTCCGCAGTCTAGACTACCAGTCGTCCGACTTCCATTTTTGTGGAAGCCGCGGTGGCTGAGCGGTCTAGGCGTCTGACTTTGTGTACTGGCGATTAGGTGCCTGACTCTGAGGGTGTGGGTTCGAATCCCGGATGGGACTCAACCCAACAAAAGTACTAGAATCTGTACTTTACAAAGAAAGTGCAATCCCAAATATAACATATGAAACTCTAATTTGCTCATGATCATTCGCTATTTGTATCTCGTTTTGGCATATACTTTGACAGCATCCATCATTAAATTGGAATTACTGCCCCCGACTGAATCCACTCTGCAAAAATTGTCGGAGGGAGATATTGTTAATTATGGAAAGATAACCCGTGATGGCATATCCAGTAGGTGAAACGCAAAAGCGAAAGTTTTGGCTGTCGCATTTGTGTATGTTCTATAAAATTTAGTTAATAGTACACTTTCCATTGCCTGGATGTTGGTGTAGGATTATTGATGTTGGAAATGTGGAGGAATGGCACATAAAACGAATTTGTTTCGAAAGATATCGCCTTAATATTATTACCAGTTGTCATCTTCCTTGATTTAAGCACCGCCGAGCCACATCTGTTTGGCGAAATTGGACAAATATTGTGTCACGTTTTATGAAAATGGATAATGTGAATGTTACAACCTAACCGCCTTTGTTCCTTTGTCTTAAACCTGTCAACGAACACATTGAAACCAAGTAGACGATTAGAAACCATTTTCAAATTACATCATGACTGAGGAACAAATCTTCTGAATATGTTCCCCCCTGATCCTGGAACTGCTTCCGTCATAAAATTGATAAAATCTGAAATCAGACCAAACAGGGACACCAGACATCGATGTGACTTGTGATCCGAAATGGGGTGACAAGGAGTCTTTTTACTGAGCTATCTCTATCCCAAGACGATGAAGTGCTGAAGCTGATCAAACAACTGCAAGGCACAAGCTCTCAACTCCTCTTCAGGAAAATACTGACCAGAAATAGTTTGCATGTGGACTACGGAGTATCAATACAGTCACCAAAGAAATCCTACTATCTTCTAACAACGGGCAGATTTCAGCTATAGTTTTGTTAGAGATATCCGCAGATTTTGATACAGTGGACCACAGAAAAATGTTAACAACTCTTGAACAGGAACCGAGCATCACTGACACTATACTTGTGTGGTTCAAGTCATATCTGTCAGAGAGGTACCAGAGTACAGCTGTCCTCTCTTCCAGATCGCTGGTGAAAGGTGTACCCCAAGGTTCAGTACTGAGACCAGTTTTGTTCACTCTAACACAAGATGTGTCGCTGCAATACATGGCATGCTGATGACATTTAGTTGCATGACAGTGTAACATGTGCCAACTCAAATGGGTATGCTGATCATAGGAATGTTCCATTGATATCACGCACTGGGTGACGTCACACATGCTTACATTTAATTTACTGTGATCGGCTCTCATAGAAGGATTCAGAACTGTACAGGTTTCCAAAACTCTAACCGTTTCGGTTCAGCAATTGTTGCATCTAACAAAGGGAAAAACTTGGAGGGATAATTGATCAGCAGTAGGACATGAAATACAAAGTGACCCTACTGTGCTGAACAGCTAATTATTCACCTTCGTAACATTGGGGCTACGGACATATCTGAAAAAGATTAATGTGTGAGTCTGATGTTTTCTCTCGTTTTGACTATTGCGCAATAGCTGACTTGCTAAAGTAACAAAAGAACGACGTAACCGACAACAAGGAATTCACAATACAGGGGCCAGGATTATATTTAGGTATTTCCTTCACCACTTCTGAGAGGACTCCAGTTGCTTCATGTTTCGATCAAGATCAATCCTATTTGGTAATTGAAAATGTCATACGTGTTTGTATATTCTCATTGTAATGTTGCTGTTCACAGATTATGCCAATCCCTGTTGACTTTATAGCAGTCACGTTAACTGTGTTACCTTTTGAAATATGTATTGTGTCTGAACTAAAATGTATCCCTCGGGAATGCCCACTCGGGCAATGGTTTGTTAAAGTGAGTCGGGTATACTTCATTCAATCATATTATTTCTGCTGTATTGTGTACCTTGACTAATGCATTATGTATCTTGAGTAATGAATCTTTGTCATGTGCATCTATTCTATAATTCTATGACGTATTGTAGTAATGCTCTGATGACTGTAAACATTCTATTGTTGACTGAAGATAAATATCTGTTGGTGTCCAATAAACTTTTCAATTCTCTCAGATCTTGTGTTGTTTTGTGGGTAAGTAGTGCACAGGGGTACATCTGCCAATCCAGTTGACCTTGAAGGTGTCCTTGAAGTTTCGAAAGTATACAGATCACTGCAGTCAGCAGATTTGGTGTTTCTTCTTCTTTCTTCATGTTCTTATCGAATCTGTTTTTCATATGTTGTTTGATACTCTTTCTGTGGTTAAAGGCACAATGTCACACCACACTTCTTTCAAATACATAACGCAATTCTCTCACTAAAACCAACTATCAGCCCTCAGGGAAGCCACCATATAATCTATTCCCAAAATATTTAGATTACAATATTAAATTAAAAAGTTCGAATGAATTAATGCAACGTTGCATTGAATCAACTCTCGCAACCTCTACCGGCCAAACATTTTTTTTTAAGCGAACCCCATAGAGTTATGTCCCTTGAAGCGCTCTTTACGAATATCCAACGCACAACTTGTCATTGAAACCAGTTCGGCAAACACCGAGTGAGTCAGTTTTCGAGCAGGAATTGTTTACATTCCATGTATGAGAAGTGATATCTGTTTCGAAGCTGTTCACCGCGAAGTTCTAATTATTGATGTCAGGAAAGTCGTAAGGGATAATAAGTCTTTTATTGCATTAATAGGAAGCTAAAGTGGGTGCAAATGCCCCCAATATATATAATATAGGCCACAATATTGTCGAAAATGTGTGACCTTGTGCCTTTAATGAGTTTAACGTATTCTTGAGAGCTGCTCATCTCACAACGTGTGGACAACGGGGTTTGGACCCAACTCACTTTCCTTGATAATCCATCAGCCTGGCACGACTATTCCAAGCTGTCGGACCTAAACGTTTTCTCTTTGAAGGCTGTGTGCCCGGCTGGATGTAAGGCTTATTGGAAGGCTGATGGATGGGTGTTGCTAATATGTTTCCTTTCGTGACATGGTAACAGCTGGAAGGATGATATGGACAGAGCGATCAGTTGTTATAGACACCTGGCCAGTGTTGGTAAGATTTGCTTATTTTTGCCATCAAAATGTGAAACATATGGCCCATATTTATGCACTATGGAAACGAAATTTGAATTGGTACTTTAAAAATATATTGGTTGGTTGGTTGGTTTGGTGTTTAACGCCGTGCTCAGCAATATTCCAGCTATATGACGGCGGTGTAGATAATTGAGTCTGGACCAGACAATCCAGTGATCAACAACATAATCATCGATCTACACGACTGGGATACGATGACATGTGTCTACCAATTCAAGTGAAGACCAATTGAAGAAATGAAGGACAATTCTTCACGCGTCCATTAAAAATAATTATTTAAGAAATTAAATAAAGGTATTCTTGCCAAATGCAAAAATGCATATATGTTCCAAAAGTTGAACATGCACAAATACACATACACACATGCACGTTACTTTTGAAGTGAAATATCCTTGAATGCACCACTGACGCCCAGTAATCTCGCCTCATATTTTAGAGTAGTATACTTTGTTCAAACTGTACAATGGACCCATTGAGATGAAATAATGTTCGCGAGCTTCTTTCACCATTAGAAAATTGTGTCGTGGGTTAATAGGTCCCATCAATGTGCGTTTAATTAGCAGTACAAAGTCTGAGAAAGGATTGTTGCACGGTATATAGAGTTTCAGAAGGCGCTGCTTCCAGAGTAAGACTTTGATGCTTTTCATTGTGTGGCCGACTGTATTCACTTCAGATTACTGGGTTGTTGTGTAGTTGTATTACAATGAACGTTGCTGAATTCGTTCTCTTGCAACCTTAAAGCTTTTGTGTTTTGGCATGGCATTACATCTCGTTACATCCCAGGACTACTGGTCAATAAAATAGAAGCAGTAAGAACATATAATT